ACACGACGCTCTTCCGATCTTGAGTCTTTTCGCTTTTTCTTCTTTCGCACGCCATTTCCTTTCTAGGGGTTTGTATTACTCGCGCAAATAACGGCATTTTTGATATCTATATATAAGAATAACATAGTGCATCAAAAAAGTAACCCTAATCATAATTAGAATTAGCACCGCTTTAACCTTCCCAAATAAGGAATTTGAAAAATGGATCGGTAAAATTGGCGCACGCTATTATGTGGACTGTTGCACAGAATTCGCACATTTTCTCGTGCACTACCCCGTGTTATATTATTCCGTATAGTTTATACCCTCGTGCTGTCACGTACCTGTGCCTGATCACAAAGCCGAAGGTTTTAACCGTTACAGTGGTTTTAAATAATTTTGAGATAAACTGTGGTTGTGCTAAAAAAGACTAGATTTAAATGATCCAAAATAAACCAAACTGAACCATATCGAACCGTTAATTACTTTATACTCAAATATCCAAATTTGATAGCTTTTTTATTCAAATTCTACTAGTATCTATCATTAAAATAAAAAAATCAGAATTTTATCGGTGGATGCCGAGGTATCTGAGCAAACTTTAAAAAAATCGTAAAAATTTTAGAATAATCTCATATGTTGAAGGGTGTGGACTTATCAAAAAAAAGGTGTGGAAATATCAGTTTCCTTAATTTTTTAAATTAGTTATGCCTAAAAAAAATTTTAATAAAATTGTTACTTTCCCTCCTAGTCCAAATAATGGATTCAAGTTTTTTAAAATAAACAAACAATGACTAAATTACTTGATAAATTAATTACCAGTTATTTTAGATGAAATTCGCTATGTGAAGTTGATTGAGTTTTCATTTGATTATCGAAGCCACAAGTTGTTTCGGTTAATAAATTTTCAAGATCGGTTAAAATTTTATCTAATTTAGGACGTTTCTCTGGTTCCGAAGACCAACAACTTGTGTAAATATCTGCATATTTTTGAGGCGTACCAGGAATCATCTTCTCCCGATCACCGAGAAAAATTCTTATAGAAATAGCATAATTATTTGTTGAATCTGAAAAAGGGGGTGTCCCACTTGTAAGTTCCCACAGCAACACACCTAGACTATAAATATCAGATCGTTCATCAAGCTTAACATTTTTTCCATATTGAATAAAGCAC